AAGAAGTATTCAAAAGTACAGATAGATGACCCATTTTCAGAAGATATATATATATATATATATGTGCTAAAATTCACAGTATACGTGACATATAAACCAGATATTCAAAATATTAGTTATGTACAATACCTATAATGAACAGCTCTGAAGTTTTAGCTTGATTTCGACATGGATCACACATTAACTTCAGTTAGAGAACCACTGGAAACCATGCAGTACCCAACAATCGTTTCATCCTTGTTTGGGGCTCTTCAGTAGTCGTTAGCTCAAAACACTAAGGGTACAAGACGAGCTCGTATACTATTCAGGCACAGACAAACTAACTTCTAGTAATTCGCAACACTTAGCGCCAACCACCAACCAGTGTAGTGTGTCATCCATCAGCGAGTATCTATCCTCCTCACATCCAACATGAGGGATCCCGCTGGTCATGGAACTCCGGCTAACTTCATTCTGTAGTAGTCAGTCACCAGTAGGCATTAGAAAACTTCCAACCTTTTCATTCTCAAGGACTTGATTGATATGAAGAGTGGTCACGCACTGACTTATCGCGGGATTCCGTTCCAATAGTTCAATGGTATACGATCTCGCCTAGTAATTCAAAGATCCTAAGTTAGATCCCTGTTTTGGTCATGGGCGCGAACTACCGAAGAAGACCAGACGAAGATGAAACAACTGTCCATTACTTAAGTTAGTGTGCGTGGTCAAATCTCGGTAAAAAAAAACACAGCTGTAATTCCTGTTATAAGATGATTGGAGACAACTGACGGGAATTCTTGGAACTAGTTTTCGTGCTTATTGGTACTCATCAGCAAGGTGTCTGTCTGTGTGCGTGTTTGTCGTAATTTCTAGTGATATTGCCGCCTTTTACGTGGAAAAATAAATTTCTGCATTCTCTGTCAGTCTTTCTTTGTGTCTTTCTGAGTATAGGAACAGTATTCGAGTGATCAGTCGTGCATTGTTTCTGTGTTTCTCTGTAACAGTAAAACGAACGCAAATCCAAGTATCATTAGTCATATATCAATAGCTAAGAGACTCTGACTGCACGTAAAAAGCCTCTATTTATTAAGTTACAATTTAATGGTGATTTATCTAGTGAAACTTTGTTCCAGAGACTTTCTAGGGGTATACGAAGAGCGCTTTACGCAACACACCTATGTTTGTCATTCCATAGCCGAAGAATGGTTGGAACGCAAACGAAGGATAAGCTAGATAGCTGTGCCACATCGATGTGCATTTATCAATTCCATTGCACCTGCGGTGACAGTTACGTTGAGCGTACTACTAAACAGCTTAGCCAACGTGTTAGTGAACATCTCCCATCGTGGTTTGGAAAAGGACAGAAAAAAGCAACCCATAGCTCAATTTTGTTACGTTTAATTGATAGTGGTCATGTAGTGGAGAAAACGAGAGCCTTCAAAGTAATTCATCGTATCCCACCGAATCTTTCCAATAGACTTCGTATTTGTCTACTGCACACAGCTGAGGTGATAAGCATTCGAACTATTAAACCTAAACCATGCATTCAAAAGAAGTTCGTACAGCCATTACCCCTCCCTTGGCCAATTAAGACATAACCAACTAATGACTTTTACACTACCCCTTGTTTATATTTTCAACTCCTTTTTAATCATCCCTTAATCTTATCACATCTTCATTAAAAACGTGTCTCATTTACTTCCCTTACAATCTAGCATTACTCAATTGGTTCATTTGTTTTTACTAGCCTTTATCGACTACTACGTCTTCCTGAACATTTGTTTGTTGAATCATTACTGTTTTTCCTTATTCATGCTATCACAGATTGTCTCACTTTTTCATCCTTATTATTGATAAAGCCATTATTGTTATTATTACTATTATCATTACTACTATTATGACTAATTGCACAATTTATATTCACCACCTTAAGATCAAGTAAGTAAAATGAAGTAACTAATGCATCACGGATACGTGTATGAATGACATCAGATGTCATGATGATTAAAATAAAGCCAAGTGTTGAATCCAAGATTGATTTATGTATGAAAACTTTGTAGGCCGAAAGCTGATATAGGTATATATATATATATAAGACAGTTAACCAATGGATTATCCTTCACTGTTGACATGGTGATCAAGGTCAGTCTCGAAATAAACCAATCAGGATTGGCCTATTAACTATTTCACTGATCATGATTATAGACAACTAATTGACATATTCTTGGTGATTTTTTGAATCATACCGTGGCTGATACTGAAACATACTTCTCAGTTCGCATTATTGTGTGTATTCGAGCTTAAGTAGTAAAGCGGGCTGTTGTAAAATGTTATTGGCATAGAGCCAAACAGTATTCGTGATCACAGTGTTTGTGAGCAAATCGGCGTCCCTATATCGATCTCCATGTCATTGCGAACTACAAAAGTCACAAAATAATTGAGCAAAGAATATCCTCTTCGATAAATTCCTCTTCTGGCTCTACAATTATATATGCATGTTTACATATATATATATAGAATATTCTAGATTAGTAGTCAATAACAACATAAGTGTTTTCTAAGTAATATCGATTTGTTAAGTAAGATCACTGGAATTACCACGGTTCATTAAAGATGCTTGAGTTGTAAAAATAATAATATAGATATAGTAGGAAATAGAATATCAATAAATATTAGGAAAATTCCACAAAATTCAGGATTATTCAAACCTAGATGGCCAAGGTAAGGATAATGCCTGAATGTCTTCAATCTCTCAAGCCTACTCAGTCCCTTGGTCCTGATGGTGTTCCTGCTGTTATCCTTAAGAAGTGTGCCGACATCTTGTGTTCCCCATTAACTGACATTTTCAACGAATCGTTTTCCAAAAGTATTATACCTGAATCATGGAAAAATATCAAGATCGTTCCAGTGCCTAAATCAACAAGTGGACCTAATGTTAAGTTTAGACCCATTGCTATTACTTCACCTTTTTTGAAAGTTATGGAAAGACTTATTTTACTTAATCTTGAACCCTCTTTAAAGCCTTTCAACGACCCCAACCAGTTTGCTTATAAACATAGTAGGAGTACGTTAGATGCCGCTGTCGTCCTCCACCATAGCATAGTCTCTAGTTTAGATAAAGGAGCTAAATACGTTCGCTGTGCCTTCCTTGATTACACATCTGCATTTGACTCTGTTCCCAGGTCTCTCTTGCTAAGTAAGCTTGCTGCAACACAGGCTGAGAGCTGGACAAATAAGTGGTTGCATTCCTATTTTTCTGATAGGAAGCAGTACACCGTCTACAATGGAAAGTCCTCCACTACCTCACTTACTTTAGCTGGTGTTCCTCAAGGTGCTGTTCTTTCTCCCTTTCTGTTTTCGTTTTTCTTACATGACTTGCCTCATTCTGATGTAGCCACTTTTGTTAAGTATGCCGATGACCTCTCGGTTTCTATGCCTGTCAACTCTCAGTCAGATTGTTCCAAATTAAATAGCTTTCTGTCGGAAATTAGTCAGTGGTCCTCTTCAAACGGACTTAAGCTTAATCCGTCTAAATGTCAGGTAGTCAATTTCACTTTCAGACGTAAATGTGACCTACAGCAACTAGTTAGCTCACATGGCCCCACTATCATTGACGGCACAGAGGTTGAAAATACATCAAATGTCAAGTACCTTGGGCTGAGTTTTTCCACCGATCTTTCCTGGTCTTCCCACATCTTGCTAGTTACTAGAAAGATGTTTCGCTTAACGTTCTACATTAGGAAATTTAGGCAGTCTGGCATAAAGCAGTCTTTGCTTTCTCAGTTTGTAAATTCTTGTATTCTACCCATCCCCCTTTACTGCTCCCCATTAATCTTTCCTGGACTACTTAAGAAAGACTTTGCTTCGCTGAGAAGGGCACTAAAAGCCGTTAGTAGGGCAAGTGGGATATCGTTAAACCAACTGGTTAACACTATTGTAGATAGACATATTATATCATGTAAGAAACTAGCGAATACAATATTGTCGGACCCCAAGAATCCTCTCTATACGCATTTGTCTCCTTGCATTTCATCTGGTAGAACTAGAAGCAGCTATAGGAGGCTATATGCTAGGACTACCAAATACAAAAACTCCACAATACCATATCTGGCACAGCTGTTATGTGATGAGAAATCCGTTAGGTATGACACGATAAACTTACTGCAGCACTCTAACAAATAGTCCCATTAGTTTTTGTTTTCCTTTCTTCGTTACTATTACACTGTTGTTCTCATCTTCTATCACAGATCAACTTTATATTTCATATCCTGTGGTGCATTGTTTGAAATGTAAACTCTACGCTGTTTTTTTATTTTTATTTATTTATTTATCTCTTGATTTTAAAAATCTTATATAATTTATGAGGTAATTAGATGCAATATACTGTAATGCACGCTGAAAATTCTATACCTGTACCACAAATACCGTTTGGAATAAAGCTGTTACTATTATTATTATCAAACAATTAGCTTCTTTTGAACACATAAATTAGACTTCTTAACGTGAATCCCAACAGTCAGCCTCAGCAATATTTAGTAGTCGAACTCTTAAGCCAAAATTGAGATTCATAGGTATACAGTGAATGACCCTGAAAGCATGGTTAACGTCAAACTTGTGTTCTGTATCCACAAGACGAGATAGAATGGCGCTTCGAATAGATTTTGTTTGTCCTTTCTTAACCAACCACGATGCAGGGTGATGTTTGAAAATTTGACAAAAACACGCCTAATTGTACGGCCTCTGCAACTAACTGGCTCACTCCACAGGAGCAGTTATATTGGTAAATACGCACACATGGGAGAGGCGAAATTAGGCAGTTTGCCTTTTATTCTCGAACACAAGAGAGGAGAGGTTTTGAAGACACACAGCGTAATTTGGCAGCAGGGTGGTGTGAAATCATGAGACATAAAGATATAGGCTACGCAGGAGGAAGCATAAATCTCAACCAAAAAGAATATCAACCAAGATATCAAACGGGTTAAAACTATACACACACACACACACTGCGTCCGTCATCTTACTTTAATACAACCATCTTCTGATCCACTAATCACAATAACACCAATATCATTTGAATTCATATCTGGCAGATCATTATGATTTTCAATTATACATTTATTAAAATATTTTAAGAAATCCAACTGAGTAACTGCACGTGTATGTACATGCCATTGACAGGATATTGACGAAATATGAAAAGAACTTCCTTTCGGATACGCCAAATGGAAGTAAGCTACAATTCCGCAACTAGTTCCAACACAAAATCTACCAGTGAAAAACAAACAAACAAAAAAACAACATTATTATGATCAAATGTTATTATTATACGACCTTATTGCACAACGTATTATTATTTATTATTTCCTTTAATTCCTAGAGGAACATAGGGCTCCAGCCGCGCGTCTCCATTGCGTTCGATCCTCTGCTAGAGTTTTCACTTAGCTCCAAGTCTGTCCACATGCTTTCATTTCCTCTTCACATGACCTCCTTCATGTCACCCTCACACTGACGACCAACACGCCGCTTCCCTTACGGGTTCCACTCGAGCGATGGCCTGTCATGGGATGTCACTCACTTGATGGTTTGTTTTCTCAGAGTATGGCCAACCCATCTCCATTTCTTCCTGCTTATTTTTTGCATAATCGGTTCCTGATTAGTTCGCTCCCAGAGATCCCTGTTGCTCATCTTTTCTGGCCGACCATCTGATCTTGAATAGTATTGAGCGAAGGCAGCTGTTGATGAAGGTCTGTAGTTTGTTTCAGATGCTCTTTATTACGTGCCAAGTCTCTGATCCATGTAGTAGCACTGACTGCTCACTGGAGTTGAAAATTCGGATCTTATTTTTGATGCTGAGTGCTGTTGAGTTGGCGATTTGATGTAGATACCGAAAACTTCAAACAGCAGATGCCAGTGGAATTCGCCTAAATCAACCAGAGCTCTGTGTGTCAAAGAAATAGTCGCTCAATACTACTCAAAATCAGATGGCCAGCCAGAAGATATTAGCAACAAGGAGAAATCTCTGGGAGCACACAAACCAGGAATCGATTGTGCAACAAATAAGCAGGAAGAAATGGAGATGGATCAACCATATTCTGAGGAAACCATCAAGTGAGTGACATACATCACTAAACAAGCCCTCGAGTGGAACCTGAAAGGGAAGCGACGAGTTGGTTGTCAATGCAAGGGTGACTTGGAGAAGGTCATCATGTGAAGAGGAAATGAAAGCATGTGGACAGACTTGGAGCCAAGTGAAAACTCTAGCAGAGAATCGAACGCAATGGAGACGCGCGGCCGGAGCCCTATGTTCCTCTAGGAATTGAAGGGAACAATGATAATAATAATAATAATAAAAGGGGACAACGAGGTCCAGAAGAGTAATGATTTCACTATATATATATATATATATATATATATATATATATATAACTGAATACAACTTCTTACTTTGTTTCATCAATGATTCGCATAACTGTTATTCCTCCAGGATGTAAACGTTTAGGTGAATCAAAAGATTCTTTTATTTCCTTGTCAAATAATGTCTGCGTACTACTACTGTTGGTTTGTTTTAAGCATAAAATATCTATTAACAGTCCAGATTCACAATTCCAGATCTATGAGAAAGAAATACACACATTGATGAATCCCACGATTTACAATAAGGTACAGTAAATGTTTGAAATATAACAAAAAAAAATAGATGTGTAGGATTTAATCAGTCTGAAGTTGCTAAGACCTATCCGACTGTAAACTTAATTCCTGGTCAAAGGACTTCACCTCACTAAACTTGTGGATAGTTTCCACCTTGGAGAAAAAAAGATAAGGCTACTTAACTCTATTTAGAAAAAAGATATCAACAATGCATAGTGTTCCAGACAGTCGATGTAATTTCACAGCCTCGTCGATTGATTTCCCCTGCCACATACCTAGCACTCGACCAATGCCTAACCTTAATATTCTTCACCTTATTACACTGCTTAACACGGGGACTAGAACGCAGACACTTATGATCAAAGACAGCTAATCTTTTCATGTCTTCCACACTCTCAATGGCCAGGTCTCACTCACAGCTATAAAGGAGGACAGAGCGGACTGCAGAGCAGTACACATGCCATTTGGTTGATAGTGAGCTGGATATCACATCTACGCCAGAGACGGGGTAAACTGGCATATGCGAAATTAGTCCTCTGTATCCATACTGAGATTTCGTCAGAGATCAACCCGTTGGCACTGGCTGATGGCACTTCTCAAATAGGTGAAATGGTGAACTCCCTATTTCTGAACTAGGAGTCAGTGTAGTCCAGTCAGTCGTGTAACATCATCTTACATTTGGACGGAAATATCAGGTGTTCCCAGCTAAAGTGCGTCGGTAGTTCACCGATGGAATGCTCGTAAGGCAAGTAGGGGGTTCGACTCCCGCCGCTGATGTATTCCTAAATATTGCCGTATTTACTTACTAGCCAATAAATGAGGCAAGGCAACACCAACGCGTAATGATAAACAACACTACACCCCTCCCCATTGATGAAACTTCAGATCTTGGCGCCTTATGTTCCACTCGGATAGCAAAGCAATGAAAAATAACCTATACAATAGCGAGGTAAGTTTAGAGTTAACATTGACATAAGAATAAAACTTGTGCACTGTGGTAGAGTGTAATTCCATTACGGGTAAATTTTTGTTTTGATAAAGTCTCACAGTGTTATACAGTAATGCTTACTGATGACGTTTCGAGCATTATATATAAATGAAGTTAGGAATCCGTGTGATCACCTTGATATGATTATGAGCTGCATTAATAAATTGTGCTTGAAACGTGGTCATCAGTAAACATTACTGTATAACACTGTGAGACTTTATCAAAACAAAAAATTTACCCATAAAGGTTTGAAGTTACTTTTTCTCTTTTCATTTGAAAGACTAATTAAGATTTAATACTCAGTCTAATACATTAATAATGCTGTATAAAAATAATAAACAATAGAATCATAAATAGCAGGATTCTTTTTGTCAATTTATCAAAATAAAAGTTTAGCTCAAAAGAACCACGTCATCATCAATACTTACTTCAATAGTTCCATCACTGCATCCAACAACTAGAAGTCCTTGTGACAAGAAATCCATACACCAAACAGTAGCTGTAAATAGTATTTAGATCAGAGTTAAAAAAATAAAAAATAAAATGAAAATGATCCAACTTCTCCTAGGCGCTTTGAAAAAAAATAAATATAAACAAGCTAGTAACACCACCCCACCGATAATGAGTTACTTGAGAATAAAAAAAAATGAAGCGTCTATGCTATGAGCCTACACCTATCAAACAAATAACCAATTTTTTCTATGGCATCAAGGCAAATGATGTGTTAGGCTTTTTGAAGCAAGACAACGGAGAAAAAAGAAATGAAAAGAAGAAGATGGCACCACTTTATCAGACTATGATATTGAGTAAATGACACCACTAAAAGAAAAAAACTGTTATTGCTTAATATTCAGATTGATACCACACAATAAAATTTGACATCACACTATTCATAATTAATTTTAATTTTCAAGTATTTATTGTTTTCCAAGAATTTGATTACAGTCAAGTTGGATTATGGGCTGACATCGATTAGAATTGATGAGCTGCTCTCTTTTATTCTTCGTTCTCAGTTGACTCAATGGTCAACTAACAGGTTCGCCGAATAAATACTGAAGGAGCTGGTTCACTCGGATCCTGGTGGGTGCCTCTATGGGTACCTAGTGATGAAAAGTCCAAAGACAACTAACACAACTTTCCATGATCCTCTAACTGACAGTTTTCACAGTCTATCTGACTGGTTTCAAAGTGAAATTTTGCACAGATGTGCAGACAAGTACGAGTTGCCAATCTCCCTCCATGTAGCACATAGAGGAAAAGAAGAGAGTGAAGGGAGATAATCAACAGAAATATGAGGGAAAGAAAATAGTAATATGGAAGGAGAATAAAATTTTATTGGACGCAACTGCGCAAGGTATTAAAAGAACGAGAATTTTGAGCCATATCACCAATTTTCTCCAATCTTCATAGGTTTTTACCATTCCCAGGACCCTGTCTGTCTGTCTGTCTGTTTTCGACATAGAACTTTGCACAAATGTGCGGAAGTTCAAGTCGCCATACTCCATGTAGCACGCGAAGCAAGAGAAGAAAGTACAAGAAAAGCATAATAGAAACAGTGAGCAGAGGTGTGAGACAGAGGAGTAATAAAGAAATACAAAACAGTTTCATTGAAGATCATAAGTCACAGGGAGTGGATGCATCTGCGCCACTGAGAACGGTTTTGAGCCATGTCACCAATTGTTTCCAACCATAGATTTTTACCGTCCCGAGGACCCCAACCAGTCAGGAAGTCTACACCTTCCTACGTGGCTTAGACCAACTGTTGTGGATTTCATTGACTGATGCCAAGTTTTTGTTTGACCTCCGCTAGCTTTTTTCCAGCCTGACCCTATATCCGCTAACATTGCTCGTCGAGGGAGGCGATGGCTTGGCATACGTAACACATGTCCTAACCATCTCAGTAACTTCACGACTTTGTCAATTGATTTCCCCTGTTTACCTAGAACTCGACGCCTAACCTCCATGTTGCTCACCTTATTATGCCACTTCACACGGGAAATAGAGCGCAGGCACCTATGATCAAAGACAGCTAGTCTTTTCATGTCTTCCACTCTCAGTGGCCAGGTCTCACAGCTGGCCATACAGGAGGACGGAGCGGACTGATGAGCAGTACACCCGCCCTTTGGTCGATAGTCGAACATCTCGTCTACGCCAGAGTCGGCGTAAACTAACAAATGCGAAACGAGCCTCCTGTATTCGTGCTGAGATTTCGTCAGAGATCAGCCCGTTGGGGCTGATGGTACTTCCCAAATAAGTGAAGCGGTCAACGTGCTCTACCACTTCACTTCCTATTTTTAAACTAGGCGTCGATGTAGTCCAGTCCTGTAACATCATCTTGCATTTGGCGGGAGCGAATCGCATGCCAAACATTCGTAGATTGCGGCTCAAGGTGTTTAGAAGACTCTGCATTTCGTCAGCGTCTTCGCCTAGAAGGACTATATCGTCTGCATATTCCAAGTCAACGAGATTATTCCCCGGTAGCAAGTCAATCCCTGAGTCACTGAAGTCACCTAGTGTTAAGTCCATTAACACATCCCAGGACCCTACGTGGCTGAAACTAACTGTTATGGGTCTCACTGACCGATGCCACGTTTTGGTTTGACCATTCCAGCCTGTCGGTCTTCTTGTTTCCAACAAATGACAAAGAAAACACTAAAGGGGATCGGTGGAAGTTGGGAAAATGACTAAATATTTCACAAATAAAATATACTGAGAATCTTAAATTGTTTTGGAAGGTACTGTGGTGAATAAAACTTTTATATTTCAAAGGATCAGTTAATAATGTCATCTAACAAGGCAGACATCTGAAAACTGACAGTTAAAGCGAACACGAATCTTGATCGTTCAATCATTGCTGCTTCCATATGTAATAAATCTTACCCAAGCTAATATTGACCATAGAGACAACAACCAACACACACACACATGTGCAATACGGACACATCGATTAATTCGCCCAGTTCAACTGGTAATATTGAATATCGAACATGAGCATTGCTCACTTCGAATTTTATTATTTCATTTATTATTCCTTTCGGTTCCGAGTGGAACTATAGGGCTTCAACAACACAGCTTCACTTTGTTCTATTTTCTGCCTTCGTCATAAGTTGCTTCGAGCTCCACAACTGCCTATAATCTCTCATTTCCTCCTTGCTACACGGTCTCTTACATGTCACCTTCACACCAACGACTCACTCGTCGCTTCGCATTCGGGTTCCACTCGAGCGCTGGCCTGCATTATACGCGATGTCACTAGTCGGCCTTCTCAACGTGTATGCCCAATCCCATCCTCATTTTCTTTTACATCGGCTCTTGGTTGGTTTGTTCTAGGTGTTTCTTGTTGCTAATTTGACCTTCAGGATAGAGCCAGTGAAGGTGGCAGCTATTTATAAAAGTCTGTAATGGCTTGTTAGAGATGGTTTTTGGGACATAAACGCCAAGTTTCTCACACGTATAAAAGAACTGACTGACTGACTTCAGACATTTGAGTTGAAATTCCGAATCTTGTTCTTTATACTGAGGCCGAGTACAGAAGATTTTTAAACTGCTTTCAGGTTGATGAAGCCGTATCTTACCTTTCCGATTCTGGCTGACTGGCTCTGACATCTTCATCCGTTCCGGCTACCTGTAGTTGAACCGATGCTCTCTAAGAAGGTGAGGGAAGTAACTTCTTTTAAATCTCTCCCGTTCATGGTGATTGGTAATGGTTGGTTGGTTATCTTGATCACCTCCGTCTTCTTTATGTTCACCTGAAGTAGTGTCTTCTGTGATTGCGTCTTCAACCAGTTTGTTGCTTTTCTCCAAGCTGTAAGTCTTCGAGTATGGGTGACATTAAAAGTGTATCATGTGGGAAATCCAGATCTTCTAGAGTCTCCTTATCGGTGGCCCAACGATATTCCTGTCTTCTCACTCCCAATACACAGTCTGACGCATAATCCAGTCAGTCAACGACAATTAAGAATATGATCAGTGATAATAGACAGGCACTTCGAACGGTTAGGTGAGTTTTGTGAAGTGGATGACTTGACACGTGACATTGTTATATAGCCAGCTGTTGAATGAGGTTAACAAGGACTGGAGCACTGCATGCCATAGTGTCAAAGTAGTTTCGAAATTACGTTGTGGTCAACGCTGTCGTCTGCCGACGGTCTTTTCGAAAGCAGATGAAGTTGAAGGAGGGAGAGGTTTGACTGCCATTCTATACACTCTGTTCAAAGGCAACGCTTACTTCGAAGAAAGTGTGACAATTGGTAATAAGACGACGATAAATGATTAAAATTAAAATGTAAAATAAACAAAACAATCATTACTGCAAAATAAGATAGATGATGAATTAGATTGAATACTCACAAAATTTTCGACAAACACTTGGTGATGGTAAACTCTTTCGCTTAGCGATTGCAGATTCTGAGTATCTAAACATAGATATATGCAGGAGAAAAAATAAATATCCGTTTAAGTTTCGAAAAGTTTTTGTTCATAAATAAAAATAAGAAGTGTACAAGGCTTCAAACCAAAAGGAGGGTGTGTATTTATACATTTGGAAATCCCAGGCACAAATGCTTTTATTTAAGCTTTTAATTTGTTGTTATTAGATGGTTGGAAGCCATCAACAAGAAGCCTTGGTTATATGTTTTGTGTTTGTTGATACCTTGAAGGAAACCAATCCTCCCCTGGGATTAGACGTGTGTCACCCCAGGGTGCTTTGGTCAGAAACGTTACCATTGAGCTATTCAAACTCACGACTGACCTCATGTAGGATTATTTAGTAAATAGTAGTCATGAATCTGCTCCTTTATTTCGATGCAGACTAAAATGAAGATATGATAGAGAAGATTTGTAGCTCAGATGGATGATTTTGATGTGAATGTGTTCTCTGAGCTGGATAGTTAATTTGCGAAGCTTTCAACGCCCTACTTACTAGGCAACATTTTCAGCAAATACTTCAATCTGTTGAAGTGAGCGTTTAGATTTCTCCACGAGTTTATTAATCATATCTCCTAATGGGTGACCTGGAACACCGTGATTGGTTGTTTTTGTGTGCTTTCACATTTTCTAGGTTACTTGTATTAGAATTGATTGTTTCCTTGACCTGAACTTTGACTCTTTGTGCGTGAGGTATCTTTCTTATAGGTTGATAAATTTTGTCTATCTCTAAGTGTCTGTTGATTGGTGATTCACAGGAATACAGGCGGGTTTCTAAAAATTCTCTAGCATTCTTGTTGTTTCCTTTGTCTAATATTTGAACGCTGGTTGTCCCAGTCAAATCGATGTCCGTGGTTGTCTGTATGCAGTGAGGCGATATGAAGGAGTGTATGTCGTGTATTTTTACGGTTAACTTATGTTTGCGGATACGAAGACTGATACGAAGATGAAGAGGACGTCCACTTTGTTGAGTCTTTTGGTTGACATAGAATTGGATGAAGTGACTTTGTTGGTTTGTGTTCGACGTCAATTCAAGACTCTTCAAACCTTTAGGAATTGACGTCGCACACAAACCAACAAAATCACTTTACTCAGTCAGGTCTATGTCAACCAAAAGACTCAACAATGAAAGAAGATAAAACCAACATCATCTATAAAATAAATTGTAACAATTGCGAAAAACACTACATTGGCCAAAGTGGACGTTCCCTTCATCTTCTTCGCATCGATGAACATAAGCTAGCCGTCAAAAGACATGATATCAACTCGCTCATATCACCTCACTGCATACAGACAACCACGGACATCAATTCGACTGGGACAACCGACGTTTAAATGTTAGACGGAGGAAACAACAAGATGATTGATAAACCCGTAGAGAAATCTAAAAGCTCACTTCAACCGATTGAAGTAGGCGCTGAAGATAACGTCTAGTAGGGCGACAAAAGCTTCGCAAATTAACTATCCAGCTCAGAGAACACAACCACATCAAAAAAGACTGAATTGTATCCGTCAAGTGCGCAAAGTGGTCGCAGCATTCTAAGTGGCTCATTATCACGGTGGGCTCTGAATTATTGTTATTAGATGCGTTGGCAGTAATAGACAGTCTGCACCAAATAAACGACTAGACGCATGATACTAGAGTCCAATTGTGGTAAGCGTCGATTGTAAACTGACAAATTTAATGCAAGTACGTGCGTGTTAAGCCAAACTGTATCACGCAAAGGATGATAGGACTCAGCTTCAATAGAGAGATTATCAAATCTTCCAAATCTACAATACATTAGAAATCAACTAAATGAGAGAGGCAATCAAAATGTCAAACAGAAGAGAGAGAGAGCTGACTTATGAAATATGTGAAGACTCATGTCTAAGGCAATTCAACTGTACCTGTTCTGTGATAGTTAATAACATAACTTTATCAAAAAAAAAACAGTTTTGGCAATGCAATCGGATCAGAATCATATATATCACTCTAATCGATAACTGAGTGATCAAGAATAGGAGGAAAAAGTTTCAACGAATTCAAACAGAACAGAATAACTTTCTCAACACATACAATTATTTGAGGCCTCATTGTAACGAGTCTCGAATTACCGATTATAAAAAGTTACACATTCTTTCAAGATAATTCTAGAATAGTGGCTGGCTGGTTTCAACATAGAATGTTGCGCCGATGTGCAGCAGGTCGAGTCGCCACATTCCCTTCATGTAGCACACAAACTAAGAGAAGAAAGTAAAAAGAAATGCAAACTGGAGACAGAAAACATAGATATAAAGCCAAAGGTATAGTAATATTGAAGAACAATATAGGGTTTTATTGGTCATTATAAGTCATTGAGCCATATCACTAGTTGTCGCCAGTCTTCATTGGTTTTTACTGTCCCGATGACCCAAACCAGTCAAGAAGTCTATACCTTCCTACGTGACTCGCTTAAACTAACTGTTGCGGATTTAATTGACTGATGCAGCCATGTTTCGGTTTGATCGCCACTGGCTCTTATCCAACCTAACCCTATATCAGTCAGCTAACATTGCCCGTCGGTCGAGGGAGGCAATGGCTAGGCATTCGTAGCACATGTCCAAACTATCTTAATCGATGTATCTTCACAGTCTCGTCTATTGATCAATCCAGTTCAGACTCCTAGATCATGAAATAACTAGTCAGTGTATACAATAAGGAATACAACAATTACAAATAGTTGCGTCAGTGGTCCAATGGTAGAATCCCCGATAGCTAAGTATCTGGTTTTAGTTCGACTCCCGGTTGACTTACTCATAAACCTCACCTGGTCTATAGTCATCTCGGAAGAGAGAGAGAGAGACAGAGTTGGGTGTGGTGGTTAGCAACTTCACTCCTTGACAACCACGCATTACCATGGAAAAATTCAAAGCTCCAACTTGAAGCCTTTCTTTCCAGACGGTGTTTTTTTAAGGGATGAATTCGCTAACATCACACCCAACTTCCTCTCTTTCCAGTTAAAAAAAAACTGGGCGACAAGGGAATTGAACCCAGATCTCCTGCAGAGCTGACGAATACTCAACCATTGAATCACAGATATTATATTAACTGAGTGTCTTTTTTGAATTAATAAACATGATAAAAATAAGAATAAATTGTATTTTATTTAAAAAGACAGCTGAAAAGAAATACCTATTTAAATCATTAAGAAGATTTCCGGAATTTGTACACCATAATTGAATCACTTTAGAGTAATGCGATTTAACTTGTATATACGATCGTACAGATGTGACGGCTAGTAATCCACGAGAGTACAAAAAGCCGTCTTTATTTTTATAATATACTTGACCACATGTAACTGTCCATTCTGGAGATGATGTTGATGAGGATGATGAATAGTTTTGAGCATGCTCTGAGTCTCCTGAATCTGCAGGCCTATCCAAAAGGTCTATAGTCAATGGAAGAACACGTATTATCGGTTCACGTTTAACAGAATTCGATGACCTATAACAAAAAGTGAACAGGATTATAATTTTTATTATTTATTTAAACGCAGAAAAAACTTGGTACAATATGACACCAAGAAGGATGCGCCACACAATAATAATAAAGCAACATAGATCAAAAGTTAAAAAAAAATAGGTAGAGAACGGATAAAGAACTTCATCTGGAAGGAAAACAGTCATACTTAACAAGTTCAAAAAGTATTCGTTAACTATCATCGAGAAGGGAAGAAATACGGAAATTGTAACACGTTCACCATTGATTACGATTCTTGGCCATATCCGATAACGTTTCGAGCCATCAATTTGAGCTATCTCGCGTAACCCAACCAGGGAGTCGTGACACACCAATCGATGCTAATCTAGCACAAACATCCTTCATCCCACGAGGCCACGTCATGGACTGACAACCTCTCCGCCTTCCCATCCCATCCCAGGGCTGGCTAGCGAACAGAGACCTGTACGGAAGCCTTCTCTGGGATGACATTCGCAGCACATGTCCAAGCCACCGGAGCCGCTGTTTCCAGATGACCACACTCAATGAGTGGTGATCTCAACTGTGTTCAAACACACGCCGCCGAACCTCAGAATTACTCACGCGATGATGCCATCCATCGAACGCAAGCAATCCTGCGGAGACAGCGATGATCGAACACGCAGAGTCGCCGAACATCCGCAGCCCACTCGGAGAGGCCAGGTTTCACAGGCGTAGAGCAAGACAGCCCGCACCGAAGCATTGTATACCCAACCTTTAACAGCCAGGCTAACTTCTCCACGGCGCCAGAGGTGGCCCAAGTTGATGTATGCCACCCTAGCCTTCATTATACGGTTGGAAATCTCATCCGTCACCCCTCCGTCAGCACTCACACAACTACCTAGATACACAAAGCTATCAACAACTTCAAGCGGTTCATCCGCAAGAGTGAGTGCAGGTACAGGCCTCCTGCCAATCTTGTAACAGTACTTTGCACTTAGACGGGAGTATACTGCCAGACAGTTATTTCGTCCTAGTTTGTGACTCTTCACCAGTACGCATCCGCAGCTAGGGTTCTTACCCAGGACCTTCTGATTACAAGGCGAGCTCGTAGATCATTAAAACATTCTGGATATCTCGTAAAGCAGCAAAATTTCCACAACGAAGACAATTAAATACAAGGTGTATTATTTGGTTGAACACTTTGAACTTTTTTATGGTACCATCGATATCAGTCAATAAGAACTGACATCAAATCGAGTACAAGCGAGTTTCAAAAATGAATCAGATGACTGAATATACTCATTGTTAATGCTTGAATTTTCAACAAATACGACAAGTGGCTATGGAAAAACAAAATTAACCCTGATTCTTAGAAGGAAGATTTTCCTGAAATCAAAAAGAACAGGTAACAGCTGAGCAACTGCGGGGTACAACAAAATAATCTTCAATATCATACATTAATATCGAGAAAGTAGGTTATAGTAAGAATTTTCAAGCATCTCAGCATCTGTATTACGTACGTCAGATTTTATAATGAAGTTATAATCAAGTGTTCGTTTGATGAGATATAATTGGTCAGATTTGATGACTACGAGTTGACAGCGGTTAGATAGCCAGTGGAAACCACGAGGGAGTAGTGGACAGACGTTTCATCCTGGTTTGAGACTGTTCAGGAATAGGTACACATAGCAGTCCAAACCTGGGTTCTTAGACCATCCAGACACCGGAACCCGATCCAACGACCCATGAATTCAAACTTCTGTGAACTCGCGATATATAAATATATAAAGCAACTGCCAGCCAATATCAACGGCGACTAATTGCTTTTTTAACTTGTGGTGTGAGGTGGCTGCTAGTCAGTTGGTAGACATTAATTTACGTCAGTGTTTACGTCCCCAATAATTGTCGTGAGAAAGATAAGAACAAAGACTGATTCAACAACCAATCACAGCAGACTTTTCGTAGGCGGGTACTATTTGCAGATAGATAATCTGAACTTCAAGAAATGGCCACAAAAGATGAAAGATTGACTTTCAGAGAGAAACCACCAATCAGAAGACTGTGTTTGTTTGCTCACAATAATCTATAATAATGTACGTGGAAATCCATAAATACATGTTGATTTCCTTAACAGACGATCTGTTATCTGGCCCTTGTTTTCTGATGTTACATTTGGTGTCGTTGCCTACCGACAAATGGAAAGCCTATGCCCTCCAGTTTTCGATGGAGACATATGGATCTTCGGGCAGGACTTCGAGGCTTCTGCGCAGTTCAGTGGCGTTCAAGATCTGTCAGCAATTAGGCTGCTACTTCTGACGCTGCTGGTAGGTCGGGAGAAAGCAGCATATGAAAATGTGAGGCGAAATACCGACAAATGTGCAACAGGGTCAGGCAAACAGTTTCCAAAGTGGGAAGGACACACAAGGCGGTAACTAATATCAATGCATCCAGTCCCTGATGTTGGTTCAGAACGAACTTAATCAGTCAAGTTTGCAGTGTGACCAGACAAGCTAGGTGACTACTCAACGTCACAATGCACTCTGAATGGTTGATATTAGATGGTTTGAAGTGATTGGCGGAAGCTGTATCTGAAGGTAGGTTTCATTAATTACTTCTTGACACTCTTGTTCAGAAAGGTGTGTCTGCAATCTTGAAGGAAGTCATTGTTCCTTCTGAGATTCGAATCTCTGTGTCACCCAGAGACCTTGCCACTGAGGTATTCGGGCTCACTTTGTTATTTTCTTAGTAGTAAATTTCATACGTTTAGAACTGATTAAGGGTTAAGCAGGTGAATGTGTCTGTATCTGTACCACTTTACATGGTGGGCGTACGCCTGTAGTCTAGCTACTTGGAGGCCAGGGTGCGGAATTTCGCGGGACCGGGAGTTCTGGCATATAGCTGCTCATGTCGATCGGGCATTCACGCTAAGCACGACGCCGATATGAATGACCTGTCGGAGGACGGGTTGTTCAGGTCGACTAAAGAGGGGCACACCAGCCCAGGGGGGAAACCCAACAAGCAAAAGTCCCCGCGTGGTGTGGTAGCAGGATAGCGCCTGTGAATGGTGGCCATGTGACAGCCCGCTCCGCGCGTGGAGACCACCTCTCCTTTTTGTGTGCGTCGGTGGCACAGTGGGTAGGATTCTCGCCAACCATGCACATGGTTCGGGGTCCGATCCCCTGCCGGCGCACACCCGATATCAATGATCGGCCTGCGAAATTTAGGCTACCGATATCACAGGCTGAAAATTCCATACTTGCTCCAAAAATACATGTGGAATCAAGCTATCATAAATAAATAAGTATACTACGCCACAAGTACTTGTCATTTCGATAGCCAAAGTATATCCTGGCAGACCATTAAATCAACAGAGACGTGAGTACCTAATACAAAGAAGAGTCATTAATAATAGTTGAAATTTGTAGTTTTTCGCCTTGAATTATTCTACTATACATCACCGGGTAGATGAGTCATAGTTCAGCGGTAAAATACTCACTAACCACGCCATACGTGTTCAAGTATTAAACTCCCAATCGACACATTATTAATCCTCACTTAAGCGGTATTGGAGTAAGACAAGGCTGTGTACTATCGCCAATGATTTTCCTGATTGCAGTAGATTTTATAATGCGACAGACAGCGAGCAATGAGGGAACAGGCATAAAATGGACCCACACAAAAAAAAATTGAAGGATCTGGACTTCGCCAATGATGATATACGTCTGATTTCCCACAAACTGAAAGATATGCAAGTGAAAAGCAACAATTTGAAAGAAGAAGCATCAAAGATAGGCCTTCAGGTGAACATAGAGGAACAGTTGTGGTGATGAAGATTCCTGGCCAACACCAACAGCAATAACAACAGACAACAATCAGCATAAATGGGAGGAACCTGCAAAAAACAACCTCCTTTACCTACCGACCTGGAAAGCATCGTTTCAACTACAGGCGGACGGCAATGATGAGGATATCGAAGCAAGGATCGGGAAAGCAAGACAAGCTTTCATTACGCTCAAGTCTGGGTGGAGGTCACCAGCACTCAGCATGAAAATGAAAACAAGACCCGGATTTTGAACTCCAATGTGAAACCAGTGCTACTAAACGGATGGCGCCGCGTCATAAACAGCATCTGAAACAAACTACACACCATCAACAGCTGTATTCGTTCAATACCACTTAAGATCAGATGGTCGGCCAGAAAAGATTAGCAGCAGGGATCTCTGGCAATGAGCGAACCAACCAGGAACCGATTGTGCGACAAAAAGTCAGGAAAAAATGGAGATAGATTGGCCATACTCTGAGAAAACCATCAAATGAGTGACATACATCACTAGACAATCCCTCGAGTGGAACCTGAAACGGAAGCGATGAGTTGCTTGTCAATGCAAGGGTGACTTGAAGGAGGTTATCATGTGAAGAGGAGATGAAAGCATGTAGGCAGACGTGGAGCCAGGTGAAAACATTGGGGAGAACCGAACGCAATGGAGACGCGCGGCTGAAGACCTATGTTCCTCTAGGAATTAAAGGAAATAATAAATATAATAATAGGCGGTATTCAAATCGGTAAAGCAGAAGGTTGAGAGCATGAGGTCAGAAACCTCACCACCCCGCAGAAAAAACACCACTTCTACTGGAGCTTCAATGTTTAGACTTGAAGCCCTATATTCTATTCGGAGAGCGAAGGAATAAAATAACAGTGTTTATAATAATAATAATAATAATAATAATAAAACATTTCACAGCAAATAACATGAAAATGAAATTAAACAGAAATATTCAAATAATCATCTTTACGCATAATTTGTAATCAAAACAAAAGGTGAATTAACCACAGTGATATAACACTTACTTCGATTGTAAACACACCATACCCAAGCATGTAAGCAATAAAACTAAACTACACCCAAGTAGACTAGTGCCAAGCATTGATGCAGTCAGGCCAAGACGAGCAGTCCAACCAGCAAAACCACCAGGTGATGTAGACGATGCACGTAGCCGTGAAGTTTTCTCACGTGATAAAAGCATATTATCATTGATATACTGTAGATTATTCACATCTAATATACGTTCATGCTGTTCAACTGATATATGCGATATAGGCTCTCTTTTGTGATTGAATAAAATAAAACAAACAAAAAAACAAAGGAGAAAAGAAATTTAATGACGATATTAATATAAAATTTTCAAGTGGGAAACCGTGACCAGTGGGGTTACAGCAGCTTAAAGATGAGACAGTAACTCATCGAAGCAGAAGACATTGCGAAATGGTCACGCTATGTCGTGAGTGAATTGGCAGAAGTTAGAATTCATGGGCTGGCTGGCCACTGGATCGGATCCCAGTGGCTCAATGGTTTACGAACTCGCTGGCCTTGTAACCAGAGGGTCATGGGTTCGACACCTGGAGTGGGCGCGTACTGATGAAGAGTCCCAACTAGGACGAAACAGCTGTCCATGCAATTAATATAACTTACTTTTAAATTAAAGTGAGGTTTGAACAATTGACTAACTTTCAACATAGAACTTTGTGTATAGAAGTGCAACAGTTCAACTTGCAGCATTCCACGAAGTATATAAAGAGATTCATAAGGAAATATAACAAGCAGAAATATATGGCAGGAAGACTGGTTTCCTCATGGAAAAATATGACTGTATGATGGAGAAGATTTGTAAGTCAGGTGGATGAATCCTTGGAAAAGCACAAAGAAAATCGCCCTACCATACATTAAAAAAATACTCTTCTGACCTTTACGAATCGATTTTGTACACAAATCAACAAAATCACTTCATTCAACTCTGTCAACCAAAAGACTTAACAACGAAAGAAGATAAAACTAACATCATCTACAAATAACTTGCAACGACTGAGAGAAAAAAACACTATATTGGCCGTCTCCTTAGTCTTCTTCGCATCCATGAACATAAACTAGCCGTCAAGAGACATGACATACACTCCCTCATATCTCCTCACTGCATACAGACAACCACGGACATCAATTCGACTGGGACTGGTCTCGTATTCCAGTGAATCGTCAATCAACAGAAATATTGACATAGACAAAATCTACCAATCGATAAGAAGGAAATCTCACACACAAAGGGTCAAACTACAGGTCAGGGAAACAATCAGTTCCAATATAAGTAGCCTGGAGGGTGTGAAAACACACAGAAACGACCAAACACGCTGAAGGTCACCAGGAGGGCTGACTAATAAACTCGTGGAGGAATCTAAAAGTTGACTTCAAACTGAAGTATGCGCTCAAGCGATGTTGTCTAGTCGAGGAATGAAAGCTTCGCAAATAAACCATCCAGCTGAGAGAACACAACTACATCAAAAAAACATGACGGTTTTGGTGGAATATACGGGGAGTGAATGCATCTGCACCACAAAGAACGATTTTGAGTCTTATATCCAATAATCTTCAATCATTAGTTATTAGCATCTCGAAGTCCTCAACCAGATCGCCTGCACTTCCGTACTTGGCTCAAACCAACTGTTTAAAGACTTCATGGAGTACTGATAGATTGTGGTTTGACTAACACTGACTCTTTCCCAATATGGTCCTATGTCGATTGACTTCCTCTCGTTACCTAGCTTTCTCTACGCCCAGTGAGTTGTGACGTAACAAGACATTGTTATTCTCCAAAATCACTTAATTATTTGTTTACGTGGCAATTTCACTGTCACTCTATCCCCTCAAACCTTCCGTGCGTTTTGTTTGCAACGTGCTATGATCGCCTAGTATACTTGGCAGTCTTAAGCCCAGAAAAAAGGAGAGGAAGTTGTGTGTGCGACTTGCGATCCTATCCCAGTCGGAAAATCAATCCCATCACTACAGAAACTTCGAAGAATAGCAAAAATAATTAGAAACATTTTATAGGAGGTCCATAAATTTTAAAGCAGTTTTCATACTCTCAAACTTCTTACGATTATCATTATTATTATTAACTGTTTCAGCTGTGTGATATTGTGAACTGTGATAAGATGAATCCAAACGTCTCAGTGCATTGTTGTAATTACTAGAATAAGTCATCAGATGTCTTCTATACCTCATTTATTTACGTTATTAATGTGATGTAGATTACTAGGCGACAAGCTTTATAAATTAAAAAAAACAACATAAGTTACATCACAATCCCGACCGAAAGCTGCTACCTTGACGTGGTGGTCGGGCTTGAACACCGCAATGACCTAATCAAGCTATACTGGCTGAGACTTATGTCTCTTGAGGTTCTACCATGCCAGGCAGGTTGTTTGGATAGCGGTTAAACAAAAAGCAGCTACCTCATCCAATACCATGATCCAAACAAATTCACAAAATTTCATGCCGGATCGGCCGTGGCCCGGATTAACAACGACCGCGCTTCCTGCTGCCGTGTCACAGGGCGGGAGTGATAAGTATGCTACTGAGGCACACCAAACAAAAGAGAACGAACAAAAACAGGCCGCGTGTGACCGGCCTCAAGCAGTTGTCCCCTGGGCTCTGCGGTCACGCAACCAACTTCCACGGTGTGGGCAGCCGGGAAGTAACAATCGCCCTCACAATCCGAAATGCACACAAAACCTCTCTAATCCTCACTTATCTTTGTCTTCATCTTCATCTCTATTACCTTGCCTTCCTTCCACTGATGCAACTCCTCTACTTGATGGCTCCTCACTCCCTCTTCACTCTGTGTCCACTAAAAACGACGAAAGCCAAAAAACCACCACGGATAGTCTCCTAAAGCCACGCCACCAATTTCATATAGGAGCATTTAATGTTAGGACACTTTGCCAAATAGGACAACAAGCATCACTAGCTAAGACCCTGGCATCTCGAGCCATTGATGTATGTTGTGTTTCAGAAACACGCATACAAGACCCAAGTGTGGTTATTCACCTAACCCCACCTGGCCAACAGGATGAATCTTCAAAATTCACCTTGAGGGTGTCAGGAGATGCCACAGCTAGTTCACGGGATTAGCTGGCGTAGGGATAGCTCTGAGTACTAGGGCAGAAAAGACATTGCTTGACTGGATCCCGGTAGATAGCCGAATGTGTGCTGTCCGTCTGAACGGATCAGTAAGAAGGAGAAAGGACTGCACTACTCGCCGATGCCTTTTCGTAATCTCCGCCTACGCCCCCACTGACTGCAGTTCGGATGAAACGAAGGATGAGTTCTACCAAAAGCTGTCTAGTTTGGTGAGAAAGGCTAAACGCTCAGATATAGTCGTTCTAGCTGGTGACTTTAACGCTCAAGTAGGGAAATTGTGTCAATCTGAGAAGGATGTCGGTGGCACCTATGGAGTTCCGTGCCAGCGAACCGACAACGGTGACCGTCTCCTACAGTTCTGTTCAGATAATCATTTGTTTCTTGTAAGCACTAACTTTAAACACAAGGAGAGACACTGTTTAACCTGGCGACCCCCATCATCAAACCAACGCTGGACACAAATAGACCACATAGCAATAAGCTATCGTTGGCGTGGGTCGGTAGGAGATTGTCGCTCCTTCTGGAACACGTGTGTAGATACCGATCACGCACTGGTCCGGGCTCGTGTGTGCTTACGACTGAACGGACGTAGGAAACAGCTGGCGGTAAAACCATCACGTCCCCAGCTCGATCAGGAAACTAAATCCCTATTTGAGGAAGAACTAGCTAAACGCATATCTGTTCGACAGCTGTGCTCACCCTGGAGAAGCCTGGAAGAATATTCAGTCAGCTATAGATACAGCTGTAAAAGCTGTGAATAAGGCAAATCCAAAGGTGAGTAAAAACCACTGGATTTCGACTGCCTCATCCGAACTGATAGATGCTAGAAGACTTATTCCGGCGAGCTCCGAATTCAATGAGGAGCGAAAGCTGCACAAAAGGAAACTTACTAAAAGTCTCCGCAAGGACCGTGAACAGTGGTGGGTGACAAAGGCGAAAGAGATGGAAAAAGCATTGGCGATAGGCAACACTAGGCAACTCTTTAGACTCATCACAGAATCGGGTGGGAGAAGGCAATTCATAAGTGAGACTATTTCTGAGAAAAATGGCTCCTTAATTAGCTCTCAGGATAGACGCCTTGAACGCTGGAAAGAACACTTTGAGGAACAATTTAACTTGCCTACAGCCACACTGAACCTCCCCGCCATCCACCACGTACCCGAATGGGATATAGACACTGGTCCGCCGTCTGTAGGTGAGGTTACAAAAGCTATCAGTAATTTGAAACGAGGCAAAGCGGCAGGACCCGACGGAATTATTCCGGAGGTGTTTAAATATGGGGGTGACATACTAGTTTGTAGATTAACTGAGGTACTAGGCAAAGTCTGGGAATCAGAGACAGTCCATCAGACTGGGGTAAGTCACTTATTATACCGATATTCAAGAAGGGAAACAAGTCCTCGTGTGATAATCATAGGGGGATCAGCCTAACGAACATAGTCTCTAAAATCCTAGGCTCAGTAATCATGCATAGACTAAGCAGAACTCGGGAGGAACAGACAAGGGAAAATCAAGCAGGCTTTAGACCAGGTAGAGGGTGCATAGATCATATCTTCACTCTTCGACAGATTCTAGAACATAGACACACTTTTCGGCGTCCAACAATTGTCATATTTCTTGACTTGAAGGCGGCCTTCGACTCCGTGGATCGAAAGGTACTATGGCAATGTCTGACTGTGAAGGGAGTGCCAAGAAAGTACATTGCACTAATCAAGGCACTCTATTCAAACTCACGTAGTCCTTTGTCTCACACCTCTGCTCACTGTTTCTATTATGCTTTTCTTGTACTTTCTTCTCTTGCTTCGCGTGCTACACGGAATGTGGCGACTTGAACTGGCGCACATTTGTGCAAAGTTCTATGTCGAAAACAGACAGACAGACAGACACGTAGTCGTGTAAGGGCTTATGGGGAATTGTCATCTGAATTGGTAACAACCAGTGGTGTCCGACAGGGATGTCCACTTTCCCCATTTCTGTTTAACTTCATCATAGAAATGCTAATGGAAGTATCCTTAACTGAACGTAGTGACTTAGGAATCGACTTGTTACCAGGGAATAATCTAATGGACTTAGAATATGCAGATGACATAGTCCTGTTAGGGGAGGATGCTGACAAAATGCAGAGTCTTCTGAA